TTCCATTGTTGTACTAAGAAACGTAACACATTAAACATGCAAAAATTTATTTACTTTCAAAAAAATATAATGAGCGTATTTATTACTTTGTGGTTATATTATCAAAACAATAAAATGCAAAATAATTTTTTTTTTTTAATATTATGATATTATTGTTATACATCTTATGTCCTACATAAGTAATATTAATAATATCATATTAAAGTATTTGTCACATTTAAAAAATATATATACGATTTTTAAATAATTTATATATTTATGATATCGAAAAATGTACGTATACAGCATATATTATTATTAAATATAGATAGGTATACGGCTGTATATTATAATATGGGTACCTAAGCTATTACTTTAGTATTACTAGTTTACCACTATGGGTATCAACCAATCGTGTCTAAAATAAGTATACATGTCTTATGTAGAAATTTAAAAATAATTCAAGTACAAATGTGTAATAAAACCACGAGTAAAGTAAAATAAATGGTTTTAACTTTAAATTATACATCAATATAAATCGATATAACGAACGCAATGAACATTATATGAACTGCAACTGAAGTAGACTCTACAATATATCAGATGTTTAATCGTATAAAAAACAATTCTGATGTAGCACATATATGTGTAGTGCCTACAGAGGTAGACTTTTTATTTACTGTTTTTATTTATTTATTTTCTATTGCAAATGTAATCACACTCAAGTTAACAAAGTTTTTTTTTTTTTTTTTGATAATGCTTGAAAATTAAAATTCCAAAAACTATTAACAGCTCTCTACAGTATTACAGCAAAAAAAATATTGAATTATTATTATTTAGATATTTCGACATCGATGACCATACATTGAAAACATTTAGACATTCACTTCGTTCTAACGAAGCTAAGCTAAGCTCGAAAATGATTGAAATTTCGATAATATTTTTACACCTTAGAAATTTAGCCAAAAATTAAATAACTTCTCTAAATTTTATGGTTACATTACAATTTTTTAATAAATTATACAAAAATAATACATTATCTAAATAAAGTTTCTTAATAAAATTTATGGTTACAGGTTCCCAATACTAAGATAGAAGACTGCACTAAAATATAATCAATATGATTTTGTCTTTGTCTTACAACAATAAAAATGAGTAACATGTCTAGATGTACTTACTATCAATAAATTCTAGAAAACGCGCGCACGCGCATACAGTCATTACAATCGTATGCTTTTATGTCGATTGAGAAATTGACTTATTCCTATGTCGTTTAGACTATAGGCGAAGTAACCATCGAAGAAAATTGATGAAAAACGACAAACGTTAAACAAAATACACATCTATATAATAGAATAATAATAATATTTATTATTATTATTATTATTATTATTATTATTCAGTCTTGATAAGATTAGCCATATATACCAATATAAGACTATACGACCATCATATGTCACTGATGAATGCTTTGGGTTGACACGTCATACAGATATACAGGACATCATTATCATCACCGTCGTCGTCGTTGTAAACGTATTATATTGTAAATTTGTAATGTTATATCTGTTCAGCACACGCTCGAGATAAAATGACAATAGAATCTGACGGCGACGGACGTCCTCTCACGCAGAAAACACCGCACAACCACGGAATCGTCATCGTACAGTACATATACATATACAGGATGTATCACGCGTATTTCTAACATATCTAAATGTAATTTTAATGTATAATTGTCGATCATCGTGATGCTACACCCAGTGTATTACGTTTTATGTGCAGTGAACGCTGCTTCTTGCGAGTCCTGTTTCGTTTGCTGGTTTCGTTGCGAATACATGTTATCGGTAGGTATAATTTTCATTGTAAATCAATCATATATATACTAATGCGTATTTATCTGCATAAAAGCAACAATAACGAGCAGATGTTAATTTCTCTATGGACTTTTCTGTCGGTGACGAACGGGAAAGCGAAATAATATAGTATAATTTTTATTCGATGGTTCGTGTGCAACGTTTATTATAATATAATAAATCTAGGCGTGGTAGACCCGTGGTTGCAACACTACTTTTGATCTTGTCGTTTACCGAATTAGTCAACAACTAAACGACCTAACAACCCACACTCTACCAATCCTATGTAAACTCCTACTTTAAAATTTAAAAAAATGATTAAGTTTAGACAAGATTTTTAAACGTGAGAGTTACAGTATAAATTCGTTTATAATATATATATATTATGATATAATCCAAATACATAATTCACGGAATAATTTGTCATCAAATTGTTTACACAAATTTCATTGAAATGTGTCCATCCGTTATAAAAATATTGAGAGGCGATAACCATCTTTTCATCCACTAATGTGTAATCGTTTACTTAATACATAATAAACAATATTATAATAATTTTTTTTCTTTGTGCTACCTATATTATAAATAATATTCCCACATATTCAATATATTATATCAAATTATTAATTATTAATAATTTTTCTACGGCTATTTCCTCCTTTGTATTAATTTAAATCCAAAGTGGTTTGCTTTGAAAATTAGGTTTACATATTAGATAATAATATGAACTAATACAGAATGTTTATATACGTACACAGGCAATTTGTATTTTTTTAATAAGATAGCATATTAATATCATTTTTACACATAACTTTTTTGAGGTCTAATTTTATACATTAAATAAAAAAAAATAAAAATATTTTATAAATAAATGAAAAATAAAAATTGGAATAATTCATTTATTATATATTTTCAGAGTTATAATATGCTCAATGTAAAAACATTCAAATATAGGTTATCGATTTACCTACTAAAAGTCATAAATATAAACATAACAAATATATAATGTAGGTACTCTTGATATAGACCTAGAGCATGCTATACTATTCTTAACAATTACATGTTACACAAAAATGAAAACTCGGCAGTAGGTATATTCCAAAGGATATAATTTCCTCAAAAATAAAAACAATAATAACAAAAAATGTATATTCAATTATAATTCCGTGATCGTGATCAGTGAAATTTTGCTGTAGACGATTTGAGATGTCACGGTAGTATGGCACCCGGACGGCATTCACCTCAGATTTAGATCGATTACATTGCAATTGTTTAACTCTATAATCTCTCCCGACCAACTAATTTTTTGCCCTTTCTTTATAAATATAAAATGTCGAGAAAGCGAAAGTATGCACAAAGCTTTGAATTAAATAAAAATGTAGCTAGGTAGCTATAATAACTTTTTGTTAAAACTAATAAATAAATAAATAAAAATATATCCTTCTTTATATATTCACAAATATAAAAACAAACATTTTTAATAAAGTATAAATAATAAAAATATGATAAAAATGTTTCTAAAAAGTTAAAATATTATTGATCAACCACAAAAAACAAAAATTTACAAACTAATTAATTACAGCATAATATAGGTGCTAATCACGCATATCTGTCAACTTTGATTGGGAAAGTGAACTTAATGTGCACAGCACGAGGGTAATAAACATAATATTATTGGCTTACGTGAGAGGTACTTTCGGTCAAAAGGGGAGAGTTTAATATTCTTGAGAGCCCAACACACTGATAATGATGGAACTTGACATATTTTAGGGGAATGGTAACTACACCCTGACAACGGGCGCTTATGCTAGTTTCAAAAATATAAGTTTGCTTCTTTTTTAACACAAGAATGAAATATTGGAAAAAAACACATATAACACATTAACACACGTATATAAGCGGATGTAAAATGTATATTATATTGTATTAAAAATTCACAGATCCATACAACTCGTAAAAAAAAAATATAATTAAAAATTATATTTTATATTAACACTTAAACTATATAACACACTGCATTATAATAAAGTAGATTCTATAAATACCATTGTAAGTATGTAGAAATACATTTTATTTTATTACTTGTATATTTTTAATTTATAATAAAAAATAATTCTATAAAACATATGTACCTAAAGTGTAACTTTTTTTTTAATCACATAATTTTAATAAACATATTAAATAAAGTCAGAAAGTAATTTGTAACACGAATTTTGTTATTGAATTTATAAAAATAACTGATTTAAATTACCGTCCATAAATCGCAATCGTAAGATACCTACATCGTATATCAGAAAATGTATGTGATAATTATTATTGTAGTATTAAATTTTGTTTTTGGCATCAAAACCGTTATTTTATAAAAATAATCAAAAAACAAAAATTCCTTATTAAAGATAACGAACACTTGTTAGTTAAATGAATAAACATTAATAAGATGTATTCTGTACAGTTAGATAATATTAAAAGGTCAATTATATATTTGAGAACATTTATATCCAGATATTGTGTGGTGTGTTTGAGTGCTTTTGTATATTAAAATAATATTTCTGAATAGTACATATTATATCATATTATATTTAACACATATAGAAGTGATATTTTAAGCACTGCTGCTTATCAACAATATAATGATATTGTAGTTATCAAATTTCCGCCAATTTAAAAAAAAAAAAAAAAAATTCAACTTTTCACGTGGACGGTCTGAAATACAACGTGTCGATTACAAGTTTGGGGCACGTAAATATTCACTAGGTACAAATTTCATTGACGCAATTTGGAAGAGGTGGGTGTGCTTGGCATCCCCAGGTTTCAAATTAACATCCACCCGCATAATATAATATGACATCCGTGTAATTAATTAATTAATTATTATTTTGTTAACAAAATTATTGAAGCTATTACCAAATATGCAATTATTTAATTGTGGGTATGAGATAAGGTGCTCATCACGCAATCCATAACCGTAAAACTAAAATATTTAAAGCTTTGGCACTCCCGGGCAATTTTTTTCGTTGAAATCACACCCCTGGCAGGTTTGTATTGTAATGAACTATTATAAGTGACCTATGCCTAATAGGTATAATATTTATCTATTAAATATTCAAAATGCATTCCGTAAAATATAATCAATACCCATCATCAAAATTCAATAATATAGCGTACCATTTTTACGATCCGGTAGGCGGTGTATACGTGTTGATCGTCTCAGTCGCAGCGCATCGTTTTCCGTCTCATCGGACGTTTTTTAAAAACAAAAACGCATTAACTCAGATGTCGAAACGCGAATAAAAAAGGCGGCCGGGCGGTAATAGTTTTTGTTATAACTATAGTCACAGAAATAAAAAATCAAAAAAAAAATCGAGTTAATCGTTCGCGCGCGTTTATTTACAATATTATCGTGAATGTTTCATATCGTATTATATTTGACGTTAATCCCGAACAGTCCGGGATCGCGTAACGGACGCGGACGAACACGTGTGCCGCGCGTGAAACCGTATACCACACAGTTCTCGGGACTTTTCTCGCAGTTTACCGGTCACTGGTCGCGCGGCGCGTCCGTCGTCGGCGGCGGCGGCAGATCGTGAACGCGCGCGCGCGCCGAGCGCTCCTACTACGCGAATTCTCGTAAACAACGCGACCAACGGACTTTTCCCCGCTCCGCCACCACCGGAGCCGAACTAGTAACGTACAATATTTGAAATCGGTTGACGCACGCGCTCGTGCCGCACACGTTTTTCCTGCTAAACAATTTAGACTATTTTAGAGTACCAAAAATATTTTACTCGTGCGTACGTTTCATATACATGTAGGTTTATCAACTAAATAATCGTCATTCTCGATTATTTAAAAAAAATCACGCGTGATGATCGAATACGGTTGTAACGGTCATACGTATTATATAATAATTATGTATCTACACAAAATACAGAAAAATGATTTGTATCGGCTAAATTCTAGACCTACCAAGGTTTTTGTTATTAAGCAAAATCGTGTCGTTTATCGTTTATATAGTCCTAAAGTTAAGAATTTCGACTCGACTTGGACATTTTCTATTAGATCATAATAATCAGTAAATGATATGATTACCACGGTCAATCAAAATACGAAAACCACACGACACGATAGACGGCGTAGGTGTAGTGAACCTGACATAATAATATAATATCGTGATAGATGTGCACGCGAGGGGGGCATGGTGAGCAGTTGCCCCTCCTGCGGGATAAATTTTTTTTCAAATATAGTTTTAAAAAAACATTATAACATAATTTTATATTATAATGAATAATATATTGTAAACATTGAGTATGCGATGCCAGGAAACTGAATATGATAAAAATCATTGCCAATGTACTACAATTAAATGTTGACGACAACAATATCCTCATTTTAACCAAAGCTGAAATGTTAAAAAGTGAAATAAGTCTTCTTCAATATACAGATAATGTATCCAAAAGTAACATGAAAAATAGACACGTGAATAAAACGGTTAACAGAGATTGGCAGTGGAAAGGAAACTATACTCAATAATATATTTAAAATGGTAATATTTGTTACTATTCCAGTGACTAGTTGTTGTTATGAAAGGAAATTCTCATGATTAAGCTTTATTAAAACAAAATTACGTAGTACTATAAGCATTAGGATCGACTAGATGAACTACACACTATGTCAAATGAACAGAAATTGGCTTATAATATTAAAATTGACTAAGTAATAAAAAAATTTTAAATATTAAGTCCTTCCGAGAGAATAATGGTACTCTGAAGAAGAAAAGAGCTAAGATTTGTATATAAATATAATAGGTATAAATGAACTTTAAAGTTTCAATTATTATATTAAATTTGTAGTTAAATTAATAAAGTATAAAATTAAAATACTTCCATCACTATTATTGATTAAATTAACTAATAACCAAAGTAACATTCAATTATATATTTATATAATATATATTCTTCCCCCTGCACACACCCCTATGTATAAGTTTGTTTATGTTCAGAGAGTTCAATGGATGTTTAAAAGACTTATAAAACTACGTTTTCAAAATTTTATTTGTTTTTTAGGGTAATCAATTATTTTAACGACGACTTAAAAAGCTTTATTTTTTGATTTTATTATATTTGAAAAAAAAAGAATTTAATCTACAACTTAACGTGGTAGAAATCATAAATTTTATTCTTGAAATATGTACCTACTATAAATTTATAGAGAACAATATTTATGAGACAATCCTATATCAGCGTTTTTTAGAGTATTAATTACGATAAAGTCACATTTTTTGTGAAAAGTCATGAGTCAGAAAACTTTGAAAATCAATAATAAAAAACATCATATTATTTATAATTATTTATAAATTATGTATAATCAGTGCATAATATATTTCTACATATACGAGTATATTATCTATATATTCATTTTTAAATTAAAATTTTTTCAGAATTATTTAAATTATACACTTTTTATCAATTATCCAAAAGTTTTAAAAAATTGACTCATATTGTTTCTGCAATAATCAATTCAATTGTAACAGTTATTTAAAAATAAAAAATCTAAAGTAAAGATTTTAGAGCTTTTTATTAAAAATTAATAAATAAATATAAATTGTATAGGTACTTAAAATAATATAATACTCTAAAGAGGTTGTCTTAAAAATATAGTTCTCCATAAATTTTATAATTAATATTCTTACCCTAAATTCCAAAACTACTTAATAATATCCTTTTTTTAATTATTCAAATGAACATGTTTATGTCATTAGACTTAATTCCTTAATTGCTCTCATGTACTGAATCCACACAATGATGATAAAATGTGATAATTGTAACCATAAATCATTACAGGTAATATCATATTATTATCATGACAGTATACCTACATATATAACTATATAAACATAGGCATCAAATCTTTGGAGACTTAAGTTTTACTTAATATTATTTTATACAAAACTTAATATTATAACCTTACTTTAAAAAGTTTTATTATTTTGGGATCAAGTTCCCACTAATCCCTCTCCATACGAAAGTTATATAAACCCAACAGCAGATAAATACACGTAAAACAATTTTATAATAATTATTATTTACTTTTTACCATATGTACATTTATGTTCTACTTGTTTAAATATGCATAGAAATTATTTTTTAAACATGTATCCGTATCCCAACATATACCTATATGCAGTCAACATCTGAAGTATATAAATCATATAACTAAAGAATCGAGTAAAGAATTTTAAATTTAAAACTGAAATATATAATCATTCCAGAAACACTTAGCTGTTCTTTAACATTTAGAAAAGTGTAAACATTAAAATATCATCATGTAAGCAGATTTTTTTAGCATCGTAAAAGTTGAAGCGCAAGAAACCTTCCCTCATTGACCTCTTTTATTTTAACTTCATGAATAAATCGTTGAAGTTTCATTTGTGATCACGATGTATGTTAATTTTAACTACAAAGCAGAATGGAATACGTGGTAAAATCTACCTTAGTATATATAACACGATCGTTAAGTGAATAATTGTCACGTGACATGTCATTCAAACTTAAATGATATTTACACCAGATAATGGAATAATGGCGGTAGACATTTACTAACTCAAAAGTTGAAATGCAAATTTAAGTACAATCAATATACGGTTTGGTCACATTACAAAACTAATACTTTTAAGTAAAATATATTATATATAATATGTAATATTCTGCAATTAATGTTAATTAAATACGCATAAATATTAAATAATTTATTAAATTTAGAAATTTAAATCTTAACGTGAAGTATATAGGTAATCGATATACCAATTCTAAAATTAATAAATTACATACTGCTGTACTATAAAGCTAGAAGAAATACATCAGATTTATAGTAAGAGACCTACTCAATAATCTTATAGAAAGTAAAAATTTTACAAAAATTGTCGAAAACAATAAATAGGAGTGTTTCGCATCGTGACAAAAACCATAGTTGTCGGGTCGGCCTACAGTGCAGTAAGTATAGTTACGTAAAACAAAGTATAATGAACTTGTGGGCGAAATGCGTACTAATAAACGTCCGGATTTGGCTACGCGAGACTCGATATTGCTGTAAGCGCAACGTAGGTGTTGGCTTGCGCCGTCAAAGTTGAACGATACATCATAGTTTTGTTAATAAACTGAAAATGTAGGTACACTACTACTCGTGATATACAATATGTATACAGGAGATTCTATAGAAGCATGATGTTCTCTAGGTCAAAATCCAAACTACCAGTGTATTTTTCTTATATTTAAGATAGTATACCTATGACTTATTCCTCAGACAGAAGTCACATACCGTTTTAATTTATATTTAATGGAGCATATAATATATAATATACATAAAACATAATCAGAATTGAATTAAACGACGATAGAAAACCTATGAGGGGGGAAAACGATGATGATCTATTTTTTTTTTTTTTTTTTGTAACGCTTAGAGTGAAAGTTTACCGTTAATAAGGTTTATAGGTTTTACTAAAAATAAAAAAAAAATATCTCAGTCTAAACGATTTTAAAATCTTAATTGTTTTTCGTGTATTATCATAATATCAAATCAGTATTATGATCCGCTAATTCTTTACTTTCTTCAAACTTTATGTATGTAATGTACATAACACAATTCAAAGCATATTTATATAAATTGCAGGTGTTATGGTGAAAGAGTAGTATTTCCGGGCACAATTTTTATCTGATTTACACACACACACACATATATACGATAGTACACTCGGTCAACAACCATATAAATGCGTTATACACATTCACTTGAGCGAGTTTATGGTAATACATTATTTTACATTATACAAAATAAATTTTTCCTTATTTGCAAGAATAGCAAATACAAATATAAAGAACCCAACGAGGAAGTCTCTAAATTTACACCAAACTAACCCATATATATTATTACAGTAAGTTAGAACAATATTATAACACCATTTTTTTTCGTGGATATTAAATAAAAATAAAAATTATAATATAAGTCTATTTACACGTACTTATTATAGGTAGTTTCAAAACATTACTACCCACAGAGATTTACGAAAACAGAAATAATATAAATTATCTACTTTTAAATTAGAATATAATACTTAATATTTTTAATTTACACAATCATTTATAAATTTTGTAATAATTAAAAATAAAACAAATATTGAACCATATTAATGATTTATTCGAATTTATGATTTTAAAAAAATTTTATTTTCGTTAAAATTGTCTAGATTGTCATATATTTTAATATAAACATCTATACGTGTAAAATCTGTATTTATACACATAACTAATATAATAATGAATATACGAATAAATATATTAATAAGACTATAAAAGATGGTCTAAAATTTAAGACGTGACTTCGATATAGAGAAAAAGAATTGATTTTGAATTATCAATGACGTTTAACTGTGATTTAACTTCGTATATATTATAGATAAAAAAATAAATACCATAGTACCTAAATATAATAATTTAATTATAACTTAAGTTGTCTTAAATATATATGTTATTCATTACTTTAACAGTACAATAAGATCAAAATATTAAATCTTAACAC